TGAGGGACTGGTGACCCGCGCGCCCACTGAGGGACTGGTGACCCGCGCGCCCACTGAGGGACTGGTGACCCGCGTGCCCACTGAGGGACTGGTGACCCGCGTGCCCACTGAGGGACTGGTGACCCACATACCCTGTGAGGGACTGCTGTCCCCTGCCTTATTCCCTGTGCTTCCTGGGACACGCCCCAGGATTTAAATGACAGTAAGTTAGGGATGTCCCAATCAATTTTTATGGTACTCGATCCGATCCATTCAATATATATCTAAATATTGATACACATTCAGCAGGCATCGCTGCATTCTTTGGCTGAGTAAGCTTCACGATTTTGCAGTGTTCTTCCTTATGATGTTTCTGCAAGTGCCTAATTAGATTCATTATATTAAATGACACTCTGTTGCTACCTCCCCTTGAAAAGACGGCTCTGCAAACATTGCAGGTAGTTGTGAGGCCACTTTGAGTTTCCAATTTAAAGACATTCCACATGGCTGACATCTTGATAGTTTGTAGTTTCAAGCCACGTGCCTCAGGCTTTCTGTAGCAGGTGACAGGACTTTACAGTCTGGGCAAATGATGTAAATTAGGCAGACGCCGGAAATTAAATTGATCAGGCTTTGGGTCGGGCTGTGGTAACCGATACCAATCGTTTAAAAAATGCCTGGACTCGGTCCAATCTTTGATAACGGGTTGGGACATCCCTGCAATACGTAGAGCTTAAGTTACACCTAAATTTAAAAAGTAGTCTAACATATAAAGTAGACAATATGATGGCCTCTCATTTTTTGGTCACCTTTTGGTTTCCAGCATCTGAGTTTGATGGCCTCTTAAAGGAAGGTAATGAGGAAAATGTGGTCACTTTAGATTCGCAGTTCATGCCGCGTGGGGGTCAGCAGAAATGTCAGTAGAGCTCTCACCCAGTCCCCCTCGACATTCCTGCCCTGGTCATGTCATCTGAGGTGTCCTGATACGCTGTGATATGGTCACCACTAATAGCAAAGCCTTGTCTGAGGTGTTGACGTGACGCTGTTCATGTGACTAGTTCAGTGTGGCGGCATGGCTGAAACCCCCCCCCCTCCCCATTTACAGTGTGAAACAAAGTCATGTGACAGATGTCACTGCTAATAAGGGGGGGGGGGTGTCTGAGGCAGCAGACAGGACAGATCAGGGATCAGTCTGTAGGGGGCTAATTATCGCAAGTCATCATGGGACATTGGCCTTATAGTTTTGGGATGAGGCAGGAAAGTGTGATTTCTTCTTGCTTAGATGGAGTAATGAAGCTGGTCCTTGGATATGGACCCAAAATATTCATTTTCTTTGGGGGGGGGGGGGTGCTTCTATGCGACACATTTTGTATGGACCCTGGCTGTGAGCTTTAGAGTCATATGAGTATCGTTGATTAGCAAAGTGGCTCAGTGGGTTTGGCTTCTGCTTCACCTCACCGTTGGAGGTTAGAATCCCGCCTCTGGGGACTGTATCAGAAAGCTGCATTTCTGGGTTAGCGAGACCCCAGTTTAAATGGACTTTATCTTCATTCACTTACATTTAGCCCAGACGACAAGCTCTCTAGCTAACCAACAAATCTCGCTTCGTCATACAGGCCCCTGCTCTGTGTACAGAGGACTTATGTTCATTCATGTAGATACTCTGGTTTCCAAAAGACGTGCAGTTAGGCTAACTGGCATCTTCAAATTGCCCTTTGTGTGTACAGACTGGGATTCCTTACGGCCTGATCTTACGTCTCCAGGCTCTCTGTCACCCTGTCCTAGATAATGGGTGTCTTTTGGGAAGCTGTCATGTAGGGTGACTTGTATAAAAAAGACCAGCTTCATTTTAGCAGCATTTACAGTGTTTACCAGGCTTCTGATTGTCCATCAATAATGAGTCCTAGTTCAGACATGGTGGTGCCACCCAGTGTTACTTTTGAATACCGCAGTTGAGATGTTTGAAGGCTTTTCTTAGCAAGACGGAAGCTGATCAAGCAGACAGACGTCCTGCACTAGGCCCTCATTCATCCCCTCTGGCAGTAATAGAGCTCGGTCTGGATGTTTGCTCCATGTTTCCTGAAGAGCTCACTGCTGGTCCATGGGGAAGGAGCCGAGGAAGCTGCCATAGAATGGTGCCCGTATTGTATGTGTTTGTGTGTGTAAAATATATCTATCTATCCATCCATCCATCCATCTTCCAATCACTTACTCAGTTCAGGGTTTTTGGGGTATTGGAAGATAATGTACAATGGCTGGTTTATTAAATGGCATAATGGTCAAATGGTTTCATGTGCAGTATATGGTCTGTTCCTGTTTAGCTCACATACATAGGCTGCCTTCTCTGATGAAGACCTCCTGGGCATGTCCCCGTGAGCCCTGCAGGCTGTGCTAGGAAGTGGTGTGGTGGCAACTGGGGCATTTTTAAGAAGGGTGGCATTGTTGGTGCAGCCGAACATGTAATGTGATTTAGCGATGTATAACCTGTAACGGACTGGCATCCTGTCCAGGGTGCCCCCTACTGTCTGCTAGAGGGTACAGCCCTTGCCCCGTAACATTGTACTGGAGAAGTGGTTGGAGGATGGATGGATGGAGAATTTCATCAGTGTGTAAAACAGCGAAATTCAAAATAAGGGAAATGTTGGTTTAGTAAATATTATGTCCATAACTAAGAACAATATTCTTTTTTATTTTTGTTTGCTATTTAATAGAAAACTTCACCAGGAATGAACTGGATTAAAATTACAAGGTTGCTTGATACAGTCCTATGGAAAAGATTTCACAGGATTTCCCCTGCGAACAGCAGGAAGGCGGCATTCTGACCTGGCCACAAGGTGGCGCCATTGTCCACATGCGCTCAGTGTATGTTTTGCGATGCTGCGTTCTCCACCGCATTGTGTATGTTAAACCCACACCACGATGGTCGCACTGGCTCATTGGGGCAGATGACCCTGAAGCCTCTCCAGTTACTCTGGGTGCTGCTTCCTTGTGACTTGGCCCCGCCTCTGCGTGAGTATTGATTTCGCCCTTGCCCCGGCTCTTCTTCCATATGGCCCAGTGGAGAGGACCCAATCTACTGGTATACTATGCCCCCCCTTCCCATCCCACACTGCTGGCCTTTGGGGGGGGGGGGGGGGAATAGCATAAAGTCAAGTTAGGCAATTGCAGGCAAAATGTCAGCAACAAACTCCCTTTGAGGTTAGAGTTTGCCCACCCGCCCAGGAGAGGAAGACCCCCAAAGTGCTGTGCCTTTAAGATGGCAGAGTCAGTATATGTGTCACCATGACGCCCAGCTAACAAGCCCCCGCCCCCTTTTCTGGCGCTTCAGCAGCAGGTGCTGGCGAGGCACTGTGCTCCCCAGGCCCCTGGCCGCCTCGGCAGCCTGCGTGACTTTGGGCTGCAGAGCGCTCTACCCGAGTGCCGGCTCGCCTTTCACATCAGCGCCCTCGTTCTCGTCAGCCGTCTCTCCGCAGGCAATAGCTCGGTCACGTGCAGCCGTGTCAGAAGCAAGCATTGGGTCATGTGACGGCAGCCGTCTGCCCGGACATCAGTTTATCTTCCATCCATCTATCACTTCACTCATCTTCTTACCACGTTCTCCTACAGGCAGAGATATGTTTCGTTCCGAAGCACGGGTCACAGACGGGCTGTTCTGCAGCTAGCTGGACACTGTGTGCCGATACATTTTGTCTTTGTCTTAAAGCAAAGTCAGAACGTGCAGTGAGTGAGTACGTGCACAGCCCGTCAGTGCCTTTGGGAGTCAGGATGGAAATCAGCCCCCTGTTAATTTGTGAATAAGTCATGCGTCGCCTGGCTATTCTGCCCTGGTGAGAAAGCTGAACTTTCTACCCCTGTAAGACTAATTACATTACACCGTTTCTTCCTTCCCTTTGGCTGGGAGGGGGTTGGGGGGGCGGGGCTGTGTTCAGCTTCTGTGGTTGGGTGGAAGCATCTCATTTATCACCGATAATGGCGAAAATGGAGGGAAACTGGCTGTTTCCCGTTTGGGATGGAGATGGATTTCCCCTTGGTAACCCCCTTGCTGCTACTCTTCCCCACTCCCTCCCCAGCTCTCCCTCTCCGCCTCACACAGCAGGAGTAGGGCGGGGCCTGGATGAAGCTGGCCACTGCGGTTGGATGGCCTCGCTGCGACTGGCGGCTCTGCTGACCTGTTGTGTTTTTCTCCTTCTCCCTGCCTTGTAGCGTGGGCGGGCTCCCGGCCCCCGGCCAGCAGCCATGTCGGGCTTCAATCTGCTGCACCTGGTGACTAAGAGCCAGCCTGTGGCGCTGCGGGCCTGCGGCCTCCCCTCAGGTCATCTGGGTGCCGCGCGCGGAGTGTGCTGCCCCCTGAGCCCTGACACACAAACTGCAGCGAGAGAGCGAGAGAGAGAGAGAGAGAGAGAGAGAGAAATCTGTCTATTTATGTGTTTGTATTTGTGTGAATGGCTCTTTGAGTGTAAGACAGTGTATATTATATTGTGGGTGCATGATTATTGTTCTGTGTGTGTGTGTGTGTACGTGTGTGTGTGTGTGTGTGTGTGTGCGTGTCTGCGCGTGTGGCAGAAGGGACAGAGTCTGCAGCAAACAAAAACCCATCTTGCCTCCCCACCCCCGACTGGCGTCCGACGGATTCTGTGAGGTCGGTGCAAAGCCTGCAAGGCCACACAGAAACGTTGTGCACATTAAACTTGTCCGGTTCTCAGTGTTTATGTCTGGACTCTCTAAGGAGAGGCGAAGGGTCCCCTAAAGGCAGCTGTGGGCATTTGGGTTAAAAACTGCAGTATGTCTGTTGTCTCTTTATACATTTTTAGTAGTTATTACAGTGCTGGTTATGAAGCTTTATGAAGTGACTGAGAATTGAAATATGTGCAAAACTGTATGAAACTAAATGTTTATTAGTTTACATATTTCAAAGAGGTCTTATCTTACAGGCACTTGTCTTGCACTTTCCTGACCGGACAAGTTAAACTGTGCAGGTTGTTTTTTTCGCTGTAGTAGTAGTTTAGCCCACTAGGGGGAGCTGGCTATTTGTTAAATAAGTCTGGAACGGTGCGCATTGACGCAGGCCTTAGTGGGTCTGAAGGCAGTGGGATTACCCTGTGTGCAGTGAGGTGGGCTTTTCTGCAGACGCTCTGCCCTGGTGCTCCCATGCCGTTTTCTGCTTGCTGTGTTGTTTTATTTTCATTCCCCTTCAAAGCGCCTTTTTGTTGCTCCCTTGATAGCGTGACACTGTTCCTGCCTTACCCACGCATGCCTGACGCCGATGCAGATGCTGCAGCGTAGTGCTGTCCGTGTTTGATTTCTAATGGCATTTTGTTTGCATATCACATGAGCAAAGACTGATGCTTAATGCTCGTTACTAACAGCTTTATATCATAATATATCATTTTTTATCATACTACCTCTAAACATTTTGTTACGCATATCACAGTAATTATTTGTATGATATCTTAACTACTCTCTTTTTTTAATTCAGAATTTTACCAGTTTGTAAATTATTTTATAGGCGGTCATTTGGTATATTGCGCTGTTTTTATGCCGCAAAACAGAATTGCGGTAATGTTTAAAACGCTTAGAAAGGCGCTCAGATGAAAGGGGAAGAAAGTTAAATAATCAACAACGCAGCGAGACTCCCCAATTAAGGCCTGCAGGACTCTGCCTCAGGAAGACAGTCTGGGCAAACACACTTGAAAGATTTGATTAATTCAGAAGCTATTTGTAGCAAAACTGTCTAACGCAATCTAAACAGAGTAATTTATATAATGCATACATTTCTGAACTGTTAGCTCAACTGACCGGCTTATTAGAGAGGAAGGGGAGGGGAGGGGGGGTCTTTTTTAAATGGAGCCAAACGTTTGACAAGTTTAAATAAGCAGAGAGGAGGGGTTATAAAGAACAAACCTGGCTTACAATTAGGAAACAATATTTATATTTGAGGTTGAAAAGCCAGGATGTTGGAAAAAACGTGCTAATTTGGACGCTGACCTCTGGGTGCCCCAAAGCAGATAATTTGTGGTGTGTGACGTGCATTCCTGCAGCATGTCTGGTAATACCAGCCCAGTCGCTCTGCGGAGGCATATAATGAACACCGGGGGGGGGGGGGGGGGGTAGCCGCCGCCTCCTCCTCCTCCTCCTCCTCCTCAAAAATCCATAACGGTACAGCGCTGTGCCCAGCCAGCCTGCTGGGAGAATGGAACTCCCGGGTCCAGTAAAGGGGAACGATCAGCTTTGATTCGCTACACACACAGCCCCCTTCACCCTGGCCCCTCCTCCCAGTGTCCCCCAAACCTGTCTAAAAGTAACTTTCTACCGATGGGAAAGGGAGAGTCCATCAATGGAGCTCATTCACAGAAGGACCCTTTAAAGTCCTCATAATTTACCTCATTCACATGGTTTCAATTTTTTCCCTGGGAATTTTCGGCATGCTTGGCGTACGGGGTGACGCCGGCCACGCTGCCCACTGCTATTTTTTACAGCAACAGAAGGCTGCATCCACGGTGGGGGGTGCTTGGAGGGGGGGGGGGGGGGTAGTAGGAGCGGCAGCTTCCAGTGTAAAACTGCAACTATAAAAGGATGGTGTAAAACTGATAAAGTAGAGGAGTGCTGGGCGGGAGGGCCGGGTGGAGGAGAGGCTGATGGTGGCGGCTTACAATGTCAGCGCACTGCAATCCAACACCGCGTAATTTAAAACTGCAGTTGTGTCTCCCTGGGTAAATGACATACAGATGGACATCTGTGCTCCTGGTCCTGCCAGCACAATCGGCCTCTTTATGTACCTCTGCACATATATTAAGAGCAACATTTATTTTTGCGAAAAAATGTTTGCCTGGGATTGTGTACGTTCTGGTTGCGGCGGGAGTCGTTAGCGGGGCCGTTATTGGCGACAGCTGGAGCGGCGTGGAGCGCTGCGGGTGCCGATTGCTGGAGAAGTTTGTCCGCTTTTAAGTTCAGTAATAATAAAGTGAATATTTGGCATCTGAAAGAAAATAGACATTGGGCTAATTGGTTTTTTGAAGTGAAGAAAAATGGAGAAGTACAGTTTTTTTCTTTGGTTATCGGGTTTCCAAGGGATTGGCTGAAGTTCAGCCTTAAGATTAAAGTATACTCAAGGTGTTTTACATATAATGCAGAATCTATGTGTTTTACAGCTGTTTTTTAACACGTTGTCACCTCTAGTCCTTGAAGTGTCACATCGCCAGAGCTGCACTTGCTCTCTGCACCCGCTTTTCACTGGGCCTTGACAAATTTCGGAAGGAAGCTCGAATTGAGATTTATGGCCCCGTTAAAACCCCCATCACCGTTATGGGACGTTTTGTAGGTCAGAAAAAAGCACAAGCGGCATGCTGATCTGCTGCCCCAAAGGTGCGGGGGTCCAGCACCTGCCTGCTCTGCTGTAATTTCGAGATTAAATTGAGATTAAATGGAACTGTAAATGTTCAGGAGGATTAGTGGCCCAGTCATTTATTTGGTTGATAGGATGAAATGCGTGTTCAGGGCAGTATGAATGTCGTGTTTGGTTCTCTGCTGGACTTTGGTAGTGTCACAGTTTCAACACTTAATGTTAAGTAGTAAAACGTGAGTGACTGGATGCTGAGTAGGCCAAACCTGCCTTTGATATCTGGAGAAATGTTACGTCATCACTCTTAGGTACCCTTTTGTGGTTCAGATTTGAACGTGCCGCTGAGTTTTGGTTGTAGTGCATCTTTACCCTCATAAGCTACCATAGCCTTACTGGAGATTTAACCTTATTTTTTGGGTCAACCCTATAAAAATGTTTATATCAGACACATTTGCCCAAAGCAATGTATGAGTTCGGTGAGGTTTGGGGTAAGAGATCAGGGCAAGTTAGTTTCCTTAGACCAGGATGGGCCTTGCTTACAGACCTGATGATATGATCACTTTGCCAACCGTAGGATTTGAACCTAAGGCCTTCTGGATATGGGCACTCTAATCCACTGAGCTACATATCCTCCCCTGTTTGGTTACATTTGTTCATTAGCCTTTAACCCAGATTGTCCAGTTGGTACAGCCTTTACCTGAACTATGATTGATTTAAATTTGGCCCGCCTCAGTAACTGTGTGTTTCTTCATTATTTTACTGGTCACATGACTTTAAGCACGCCATTCGCTTGCACTCTGTACACAGCATTGGAGATGATTGCTCCCCGCCTTACCCAGCGTGCCACGCAGCTGAGCTGAGCTGAGTGACTCGTAGATGTGGAGTGTTTGAGTGAGAAGCCCAGATCTGGGGTGGCCTGAGGGGTGGGGCGAGGGCTGTGGTCAGGGGGGCATGTAGGCGTGGCTTCGCATGCTGACTCTTTGCTGCCCCCTATCTCCATCCTTGTGCTCCAGGATCATGCCGGCGTAAGAAGACCTGGCCAGTGTCGTTCCCCCAGGAGGAGCTAAGGCAACGCCTTACACCCATCCAGTACCATGTGACCCAGGAGAAGGGCACTGAAAGGTAGGTGGGCTCTACCACTGCTCTGCCTCCTCCCATTGGTTCCTGGGGGAACTATGGGAATCAATAGGCCTATCCATTTGTAGTTTTCAGTAGCTGCTTATCATAAACATTTGGATGCAGTGCAAGATTTTATGCCCACATACCCAATTGATATTCACATGCACTGAGAGCAGTGAAATTTTATTTGGCAAAATTCATCAAATTAGCTGCAGTAAACAGCATTTCTGTGGTCTGAAAGGTGAGATTTTAGATATGGCTTAGATACCCGAAATGTACAGAGACACAGATGTACACAACTGGCTTCTTTTTGCTTAATACATAGATGTTGTGAAATGCTCCATCGACACTCCAACAACCAGGCCTACAAGCCTGACCTAAAATCGCTGTGTGGATCCAGGGCCTGACGGATTTAGAAAGTATAGTGATATTCTCCATGTCTCGTCGGTGACTTGGAGCTTCCAGACAGAAAATCTGCAGAAAACAGAAAATACTACCACAAATAATAACATGTCAATTCTGTCATGAATTATGTAAATAAGCTTCAATGCTGGTCAAGTGTATGAGCTGGGGGCGGTGGAGTCAGGTAACGAGGTCATTTGTGGGCAGGGTAGAGTAATGAGGTAATTTGTGAGCAGAGTAATGTTATGGAGTCATTGGTGGGTATGTCAGATGGTGAGGTCATTTGAGGGCGGAGTCAGGTGATGAGGCCATTCATGGGTGGAGTCTGGTAATGAGGTCATAATTCAGCTTTACTTGTTCATTTATTATCGTTCCCATAACAGAGCCGACTGGCCGATTCTGCACGTCTCCGCAACCCTCTCCCTGACCCGATGCCAAGTGCACCTTTTGTTCTCCTCCCTCCATTTCCGCTCCAGCACTGCTTCCTCCGTGTCACATGGTTCTGTGTGTTGTTCTCTAGTACCGTCATAAGAAGGCCTTGCTTTGTGTACTTCTAATGGGTTGTGTATAAATGGCAGCAATGTTAAAAATAGCCCCATCCTGCCCCTCGCCCCCCCCCCCCCAGCACTCTGACCCCTAAAGTAGAGCCAAGAAGCATCTGTCTTGGGGGTGGGGAATCCCAGCATCCCTCTATGCACAGCTGCGGTGGGCAGGAAGGGGATCTCGTCCGCTTCCTGTGGTGCTTTGCTGGCCTCACTCACCCAAACAGCTCAAGGTGAAGCCCCACCCTGATGTGGCAGGCCAGGGCTTCCGGAAAAGTCCCATCTGTTCATCGTGTGACATTACTGAGACTGAGGTGCTTTTTTTGTGATTTATGAGGGAGGGCTGCACCTCTGAAGCTTGCTAAGCTGAACCTGCAAACCAAAAGTGATGCCCTGCATTAAATCCTGTTTAATGGGAGGGTCATTGGCAAGCCCGTGATGGTGGTCTCAGTCGGCCGGGTCAGGTTCATTCACGCTTAATACTCCTCGTCACTGCTGGCTATGAATTCTTCTGTAAAACCCGCAGCCTTGAATTGTTTAATTCACACGTGTACACTAGACCTAGCATCGGCCATTCACAAAAACAGCCGGCCTCACTGTTTACCCCCTCTGCCCCTCAGTGCCTTCAGAGGGGAGTTTAGTGACCACAAGGAGGAAGGCATCTACACGTGTGTGGTCTGCGACACCCCCCTCTTCGAGTGAGTAACCCTGCTGAAGGAGTTAACCTCGCAGCTTCTTTTCCTGAGTTAGCGGATTTGCAGTTTGCTTCTTCTGGATGCTAACCCGGTTCCGTCTATTGTCCATTCTCAGTAACATTTTTCTGCAGCAAGGATCCGCTCTGCCCCGCCTTCTCTCAGTAGAACTCCGCCCCTTCCTGGCTCCTCCCCGTCCCCCTCTCTGACAGAACAACTCCTCTGATTGGTTGTACAGATCAGTCTCTCTTTTCTGGAACCAGAGCAATAACAATAGCCAGCTCACAAAAACATGATTATAGAACACAAAATACATTTTGTGTGCATGCATGAATATGTGTTTAGATACAGTGCTTCCTAGAGTTGAAAAACATTATTTAGATAGTGTAAAATGAAAAATATTTATAGTACACGATCAAAATGCTTGCAAGAGGCTAATGAGTTTGTGGATTTCCTGCAGCCTTTTCTGATTTCTGTCTTCATGTGGAATTCCTTCATTTAGCCTCCCTCTTCCCAAATTATATTCCTGCAGTTTATTCCCACACTGATCACATCCCACTGATGCCTTGCTGCATTTCGCTCCAGAGTCGGGACATTCCTCTTGCACCTCGCCGGCGTCGCCATGGCGTCACGATTTGGCCGCTCGCTGAATAACGCCACATAACCAGTGCTTGAAGTGGGCTGGAACACAGCGGAACGCAGTTCCGGAACTTCTGTATTTTCGTCTTTTGGGTTCCACCACTTTTTTCTGCGTTCTGGTACTTACTGAAACTGATCCGACGCAGCGACAGTGGCCCGAGAAAATTAGAGTTCCTGCACTTATTTTTTCCCACTTCAAGCACTGCACATAACGCTGTGAAAATTCGGAGGGGGCCGAGTTTGCAAGTGGGGGCTGACTTCAGGGCTGAGCGCCAGTGTCAGAAGATGACACGCATGCTCCTAATTGGCTCTGTATTGTTCCCACAATTCCCTAACCTGCCCTGTCTCCTGTGACACGTACGCCCACTTATTTTATATCAGATATTTACTCGGAGAGATGGGACATCCATGAGTTTGATTTATTTGAAGTGAGAAGTTTAAGCATGTTGTTGTCACGCAGTGTTATTGAGGTAGATATTATAACCATTTATATTGGGTTAAAAACAGTTTTAATTAATCTCTTCAACATATATATCACCGTTGATTAGATTGCTCTTCAGGAGGTTCTGAAGTTCTTCAGGACCGTGGGGTGGTGATGAACGCCTGTGTCAAAATGCCGTTCATTTCTCTCTCTCATATTGCAGGTCTGATAAGAAGTTTGACTCTGGATCAGGTACGTTCTCTTCCAAAATGTAACGGGCGGGGTGTTAAAGAGGCTGTCCCAATGGTGGCCCAGCATCTCAATGTGCAAAAGGGGAACTCAGTCACTCATTCTGGCCTTTGGCCCCAGGGCAAATCTAGACTTGAGCAGATATTGTTTATGGTGTGTCAGTTAGTTACAGAGAATTGTAGGTTTAATGCGGTTCCTGGGGACCCCCAGCCATTCTAATTATGTTTTATTCCACTCCTTGCACACTTGTTTCAACCAGAAAAGGACTGATGATTAGTTAATAGGTTTGGTGAGTTGTGAATTGTGGTCATTTGAATTCTGGACGCTGTTCGTGGTACTTTTGGGCGTCCCCAGGGAGACGTCTCAGAATCTGTGATGTCACTACGGTGCCCCAGAATTAGTGGGAGCTGCGGGGTCTTCCCCCTGATATTAAGCTGTTATGATTGGCTATTTTCCCTGCACATCACCTGATTGGATATTTAAAATTTGTGTCACTCATGAAAAGCAGTGCTTTCCATACGCTCAGCCCATACTGAAGAAACTGATGATGAGAAACACAAAAGAAAAGGTCAGCTTTACTTTATAAGTGTTAAAATATTACTAATTTATACGTTTTAAAAGAAATATAAGTCATATGACATACATATGTGGAAAACCCCTATAAATAGATTTGATCTTTTTTTTTTTTTTTGTTATCATGACTTCAATGAGATGTTACATACACTAAACAAATGTAGGCCGGAGTCCCGGGAGCGAGAGACATCCCAGGCACAGGGTCCACTGGCAGACGAGTGGCCGTTTCCATCTGAAGCTGGGCTGTTTGGATTTTGAGGATCAGCAGCTGGTCGGGGCCACACACCTACATAATCCAAAGATGAGAACGTGCTCCATCCCTCACTTTAATCTGCCCGTTTACATGGCTGCCTGAGAAGTATCAGCCTGAAAGCCTTTTTACGGTTGGCTGTCAGGCGGAGGGCGTATGTTGTGATGACTCTCATTGGCCACGAGACAGGCCTGCTTATTAACCTCTATGCAGCTCAGTGCTAATGCATGACATCCTCAGATGGCCAGTTTAATGATCACTACTGCGCTTCTGTGGTATGATTTATCGCTCGTGAATCTGAGGGCTCAGTCACACATGATCCCGAAGAACTCGCATGCTCTTATTCGGCGCCCTTTTGACACGGAACGTGATTTCCGAGTATCAACACAGTTTTGCGCAGGGGGAGTGGCACGTTGTTTTCGCTCTAGGGCTGAAATGAGCCTTTGGAGGCAATGTCCAAATTATTGCTGAACCCGCAGGGCAGATGGAAGGCTGGCAGGCATATCCAGTCACACAGGCCACTATAAAAAAATATAAATCATAAAGCTTTAAACATATAAGATGAATTTCCATCACCTCCATGTAGCTAAAATGAAATATATTTGTAGCTGGATTCCAAAGTTACATCTTGTGCATGTTGAACTTTCAACCAGCCATGGTCTGGCAGGACGGCACAGTAGCTCAGGGCTGTAGGCTCACGCCTCTGAGGTTGGGGGTGTAAAGTCCCCTTTCGCTCCATGCCTGTGAGATTTGCATGTTCCCCCCGTGTTGCACAAGCCTTCTGCACGGGCTCTGGTTGCTTGTAATCGTCGAAACACATGCAGTTTGGCAAATTATCTTCTCTGAATAGCTCTTAGGGTGTTATTGCGCATGTCCTGCGATGGGCTAACATCCTGTCCATCGTGAAACTCACCATAGCCGCATTCATCTTGGCTCATGTTCTTGTCTTCCATTATTCCAGGTAATCATTAACATCCATCCATCTGTCCACCTGTTCTTCCAGCCAATAGTCCAGTACAGCTGTATTTCCCAATCCGGTCCTCAGGGACCCACAGCCGGTCCACGTTTTTGCTCCTTCTGAGCTCCCTGTCAGACAGTCCAAAAATGTGGATGACAGGGAGCTTGGTTGGAGGAAAACCGTGGACTGGCTGTGAGTCCCTGAGGACTGGACTGAGAAACACTGCTGTACAGGATCACTATGAGCCTGGAGTCTCTTCTAGGAACTATAAGGCATTAGGTAGGGGACACCCTGAATGGAATGCACTCTCGCACGATTACAGGCTAGTGGGCAATGCAGAGGTGGCAGTTTGGCTTAAGGCTTATTTTTGGACTGCGGAAGCAAATTCTTTCAATGTGAAGACCAGAGACTGGACTTGTACTTGCAGTCCTGTAGGCATGAGGTGACAGACCAGATGATGCTCGTTAATACAGACAGATAATCTCGTATGAATGTTAAGTACTGTGGTGTGTCACACAGAGCAGTGATTCCGACCTTCAGAGCTGGATTCCAGCCTATGTTTTCCTGACATTCCTTTCGGAATTGTCAGTCTAAAAATAAAAGAAAACCAATATAGCCACCTCAACAATAGCCAAGTCTGGCGTGCCGCAGGTATGGAAACTGGCTCAGGTTCAGTCTGTTTCCTGTTTTGGTTCTGGCGCTGCGGTGCCGGGGGTATGTTCACCCGAGCACTTGCCCGGTGATAAAACCTAATTAGATTACTTTAGTAACCATCCGCGGGAATTTTCCTCCTCTGAGTCACACAATTCTTGTGTTCCGCTGGGAATTTCCTGCGTCTGAGCCGAACGCCGCAGCTTTGTAGGCCGGGCCAGCCAGGCCTCCCGATCCAGGCCGACTGGAGGGCCCTTGTTTTCCGGGGGGGTGGGAGTGGGGGCTGCTGGTGGTCCCCCTTGGCCTTCGATCCTCCCGCATTTCTTCACATGCCTGCTCTCTCCCCAGCTGATCCAACTTGCTGTCTTTTACTGGTCGTTATTTTCTTTAAAGATGGGCCCTCTATAAATGCCTCTTTTTTTTAAAAATCATTTTTGCTTTCCTCCTTCTTGTTTCCGAAGCGCCTACTAAAAAGCGGCTTTGTGACTATTACCGAGACAGCCAAATCCTGTGGGCCTGGCGTGATGACGACTGCCGCCGTGACAACCGTGATGTGACGTCGTTGTCACCATGGTGCCGTGTGTAATGTACTGTTTGTGTGCTGAGTCCAGCTCGCATCCCTGGGGCTTCATCTCAGGACCGGATAATATGAAAAGCATATGGAGGAATGTGCATGATGGGACGACGCCATGGGGCGGTGCTCTGGGGTGAAGTGCAGGGCGAAGCTATAGGGATTTTGACCCCCCCACCCCCATCAGAACCCCTGACCTGACCATTTCTGGGTGTGACTTGGATGGGCGCAGAAAAGAGACAGATCTGTCAAGCAATGTAATGGTTAAAAGAATTCTGCAGCAGACACACATGGCCAGTCGCACAATCCACATTAAAATTCCCGATACAGATTTTTCACGCACCTGTGTTTTGTGGCTGAGATGTTCCTCTAGGCTGCCTCTTTGAGGAAGCGTCGATGTCTGCCGATCGATTGGTCCTTGTGGTCATACGGCTCCCCTAAAAGCCAGTAATATGGGTCTTTAGGTCCCTGGGTGCTCCTCGCGGACACGCCCAGGCGCACATGACCCTAGCGTTCGCTGCCTGCCAGTGTGGAGGGTCTGCAAAGGCTCGCTCTCCCCAGACTGGGCCAAAAAGAAAGGTTGAGGAGCAGCTGTGGATGTGGGCAGAGGAGGCTCCGTCACATCACAGCCTGACAGCCTCTAAACACCCCCCACGCTGTCGCGTCCGCGTCCATGGAAAAACGCCGGCGAATCGGCACACTGGCCGCACACACGGAGCACAGTGTCTACACGTCACGTCCCCCCCGTCTCTAATTATGGCAGCAGTGGGAGCTTCCCCAGAACTGAAAGGGGATCTGGGGTGTGTGTGGAGGGGGGGTGGGGGAGTGGTCGCGCTTAGAGTCTGGCTGGAATGAGCTAGAAAAATAAACCACCTCTCACTGGCCCGGCAACCAGAAAGAAAGGGGAAGCTGTCTCGGAACCACTGGCAAGGCCCGGATGATGCCAAGGGCACGAGAGGCCCAGGAGAACCCTGGGTCTGCATGTTTCCAATCACTGACAGGCAGGCAGGGTAGGGGGCGCTATACCTGCAGGGGCCTCCCATCGATTCCCATTGACTCCCATTTTCATGTACTGGTACAGTTCCCAGACTCAAATGACCGACCCTAAAGCTACAGTAATGGACTCGTTAGATTTTTGCCTTTTTTGAAAATGCATACAGAAATCAATACCATTGTATCTTTCCATGTATAACTTATACGTATTGATTTAATGAGTGAGTGCAGGTGCAGGTCTGATCTGAACCCAAAAGATGAAGTCTGAAAACAAAGAAGATGTTTTCTGTACTTTTTGTTTTTAAGCCAGTAGATGAAGTCATCAAGAGGCGTTTTTGTCTTCTGGGGACTCCTCTCCATCATCTCCTTTTTCCAGGTTTTTTCCCAGAGAATAGAGAAGCCTACAGAGTCACACACAGACACTTGTTACCCTGCTGCATAGGCATTCTGTGAACTGTCATCGTAATGCAGTGATTAATGACCTCCGGGCCCCTGCAGATGAAAATTGATAAGGACTTTGACCACAATTACAGGGCTGCTTATGGAATTTCCCTGTAATCTGTTTGTAACAATTTACTGTCTTTGTGGGTCCCAGTGAATAAAGGTAAACATAAGTAAACAAACACGTCGTCATTACACACACATTACACGCATATTACACGCACATCACACACACATACATACACGCAGATGTAGACACATTACACAAGCATGCACACACACGGGTGGTGACTCGTTATACTTAAACATGCAGACATACACACAAAACGTCTTGTCAGCTGGTGGTCATGTGTGAACAGAGCCCATGACATCAGCGCTGTGTGGCATACATCACACATACATACATACTGACAGTGAGCGGCCACTTCCCTCACCCCCGGGTTCACCCTCATGGCAGATTTGGAGCTTGTCCAGGGATCAGTCAGTTGGGATTAGTCATCTGGCACTGATCACATGGGGTTGGTCATCTGGGATCAGTCACCTATAATTAATCATCTATGATTGATCACCTGGAATTAGTCGTGTGTCTGATTAGTCAGCTAGGACCAGTCACTAGGATATGTTTCGTCATCTGGGAATGGTCACCTGGGGGTTAGTCACATGGGATGGATTACCTGGGTTGAGACATACCTGGTTGGACAGTTAGTCTGCTTGGATGAAATGGATCTGGTAACTAGCACCATGTTGATGTACACTCAAGATTCTGTAGTGGCTTGTGGTTTGTTGCCATTGTGACAATTAACTTGCACCTCCCCCCCAACTACAGGATGGCCCGCCTTCTACGACCTGATCAAAGAGGACACCGTTACGCAGACAGACGACTTCTCCTATGGCATGCACAGAGTGGAGGCCACCTGCAGCCAGGTAGATGCTCTGCAGATCCTCCTCACAGTGATGTTGCCCTGTATCTCCAGAGCATAGCCCACTTTAGTCCCTTGCTAACACTCCGCAGTGACTTGGCCATGTCACCTCTGTAGTGCGGAGCCCATCTGGGTCACATCTTCGACGATGGCCCTCGACCCACAGGGAAGCGCTACTGCATCAATTCAGCCTCCATGGCTTTCAAGAGCAAGGAGCAGACCGTACCCAGCCCCTCCCAGGGAGCTGAGGCGGGGGCTGCCACCACGGAGGCTTCCAAGGTAGCTGTCAAGGGGGCTGCCAAGGGGGCTGCCAAGGGGGCTGCCAAGGGGGCTGCCAAGGGGCCCACCAAGGGGGATGCCAAGGGGGCTGCCAAGGGGCCCACCAAGGGGGATGCCTTGGAGGCTGCCACCACGGAGGCTTCCAAGGTAGCTGTCAAGGGGGCTGCCAAGGGGCCCACCAAGGGGGCTGCCAAGGAGGCTGCCACCACGGAGGCTTCCAAGGTAGCTGTCAAGGGGCCCGCCAAGGGGGCTGCCAAGGAGGCTGCCACCACGGAGGCTTCCAAGGTAGCTGCCAAGGGGCCCGCCAAGGGGGCTGCCAAGGAGGCTGCCACCACGGAGGCTTCCAAGGTCGCCACCAAGGGGGCTGCCAACGGGGCCCCAGGGAGCCGCTTCAGGGCCCCAACGGCCCCCAGCAAGACTGAGCCCTGAGACCCCCCCTCCCAAGACTCTGTAGTCTGGGTACTCCAGCCTGATTACCCCTGACCACAGGGCTACAGGTAACTGACCCACTGGGCCAAATATTCCAGACCATGGAGCCCTACAGGTACTGTGAACAACCCCATATGAAGCCCAGATATCCACCAGAAGAAAACTACAAGAGCAACAAGCACCATTTATGTTAATGGCTCCGCCCAGATTACCCAGAATCCCCCTCTCTGCACGCAGCAATGCCCCCCCCTCCTATTTGAGGGAAAAACAGTCTGGACGGACAGAGGTGGGGGCATTGGAGGAGGACTGCCCCTTGCGCTTCTTTATGACCGTCAGACACTTGATTTTAAAGGTTTTACAGAGGTTTTTATAATAGATTCTTAGTTATGCTTACATTTTTTTCTGGCCTTAGCAATGTACCACCAAGCTTTAAGTTGAAGAATAAACACATGCATACTTTGCTAGAATAAAGTATTACTTTGAAGTGACATTTGATACAGGGAGTCGAACAGTTTGAGGAACACTATGCAAGAGCTTTAAGGAGAGAATGGGGCGGGAACAGAGCCTCTTTCAAAGAGACCGAGATGTGTGACAGATGTTTAGTCTGAACATGGAGGGAGCCGAATATCTGAGGCTGATTTCTTGCCTCCTGCCCTGGTGCCTTTTTGCCCTGTATGAACATTTTCTGTGTTTTCCTTCACTAGCAGTGTGAGAAGAGTAGTGAGACTCAATAAATCTTGACACACTTGATGTTCTTTTCATACATTATGTTTGTTTCTTCCCTAGCCTGTATATATATAGTACATACACGTGTGTGTGTGTGTGTGTGTGTGTGTGCAATTTCCATTAATACTGGAAATTGGTGGGAGTCTCATCATTTGAGGACAACAGGCTTTGGATCTTCATGTTTATTGCTTCCTATTGGAGGAATAGATGCACAATTGGAAATGTGAAGCAAAGGTACAGTATCAATCCATCCATTCTTCCAAACTGCTTATCCATTATAGAGTCTTGGTGAGCCTGGTTTCTGTCTCAGTCAGCACAAAGCACCAGGATGGGATGTCAGTCCATTACAGCTGACACACACACACACACACTCTCACTACTCTATGTCTTTCACATAGAGTTGGGAACAGGTATCCAGTGAGGTATCCATTTACTATCATACTACGATAAACCACATTTAAAAAGTCTTCAAGGCTTCTGGCTATTCTTACAAAATCTTCTCGGTGATTCTAGGAATGTAGCAGAGCCCTCAAGTTCATGTGTCAAGGTCATGTGTTACCTAGGCCCTTGTGATGCGTCACACAGGCGCCTGAAGCTCAGTGTTGATGCCACTTCACAGTCACAAAGGGAGCAGAAGAAGCTGAGATACACACAGGCCGGTCGAGGGCAGCATTCACCGTCTCCCCTCCATCAGGTCTGTGTGCTGTCAGGCCTGAGACCTCATAATGTGTGGAGGCCCTTTCAGAACACCAGTTCTGAAAGGCGGGTGAAGGATGCCAGCACAGTGACCATTCTGAGAGAAATGGAGATGGAAATTATACAACAGACATAACATACAAAACATCATATTATACAAATCCTCTCCTGGAGCCGATACCTTATCGTGATGGAGGGGTTTGCATGTTCCAATGATCCCAGGAGCTAAGTTGCCCGGGGCTTTATGCCCCTGGTAGGGTCACCCAAGGCAAACAGGTCCTGGGTGAGGAACCAGACGAAGTGCGGCTCACAAGAACAAAATATTGGATACACGATTTCCCTTGCCCGGACGTGGGTCACCGTGGCCAGGCCTGCACCCATGGGGCCTGGTCGGGCACAGCCCGAACAAGGCACGTGGGTCCCCCCTCCAATGGGCTCACCACCTGTAGAAGGGGCCATAGGGGTCAGGTGCCGTGTGAGTTGAACAGTGGCCGAAGGCGGGGACCTTGGCGGTCCGATCCTCGGCTGCAGAAGCTAGCTCTAGGTTCATGGAATGTCACCTCTCTGGTGGGGAAGAAGCCTGAGCTGGTGCGCAAGGCTGAGAGGTTCTGACTAGATGTAGTCAGGCTCACCTCGACGCACGGCTTGGGCTCTGGAACCAGTCTCCTCGAAGGGGGTTGGATCCTCTTCCACTCTGGAGTTGCTCACGGGGAGAGGCGTGGGCATACTTATTGGCCCCTGGCTGGGTGCCTGTACATTGGGGTTTACCATGGTGGACGAGAGGGTAGCCTCCCTTCGCTTTTGAGTGGGGGGACGGGTCCTGACTGTTGTTTGCACTTATGCGCCAAACGGCAGTTCAGAATACGCACCCTTTTTGGAGTCCTTGGAAGGGGTGTTGGAGAGCGCTCCTCCTGGGGACTCTCTTGTTCTGCTGGGGGACTTCAACGCTCATGTGGGCTGGTGGACACCGGCGGTGAGGGATGCCGTCAAGCTGAAGAAGGAGTCCTATCAGGCCTTTTTGGCCTGTGGGACTCCGGAAGCAGCTGATGAGTACCGACAGGCCAAGTGGAACGCGGCTTCGGCGGTCGCTGAGGCAATAACTCGGGTATGGGAGGAGTTTGGGAAGGCCATGGAGAACAACTTCTGGACGGCTTCTAGGAGATTCTGGTCCACCATCCGGCGTCTCAGGGTGGGAAAGCGGTGCAGCATCAACACTGTTTATGGTGAGGATGGTGCACTGCTGACCTCAGCTCAGGACGTTGTGAGTCGGTGGAAGGAATACTTCGAAGACCTCCTCAATCCCACCGACATGCCTTCCAATGAGGAAGCAGAGTCTGGGGACTTGGGAGTGGACTCGCCTATCTCTGGGGCAGAGGTTGTTGAGGTGGTTAAAAAGCTCCTCGGTGGCCGGGCCCCGGGGGTGGATGAGATCCGCCCGGAGTTCCTCAAGGCTCTGGATGTTGCAGGGCTGTCTTGGTTGACACACATCTGCAGCATCGCGTGGACATCGGGGGCGGTGCCTCTGGATTGGCAGAACGGGGTGGTGGTCCCCATCTTCAAGAAAGGGGACCGGAGGGTGTGTTCCACCTGTAGGGGGATCACACTCCTCAGCCTCCCTGGTAAGGTCTATTTGGGGGTGCTGGAGAGGAAGGTCTGTCGGATAGTTGAACCTCGGATTCAGGAGGAGCAGTGTGGTTTTCGCCCTGGCCGTGGAACAGTGGACCAGCTCTATACTCTCGGCAGGGTCCTGGAGGGTGCGTGGGAGTTTGCCCAACCAGTCTACATGTGCTTTGTGGACTTGGAGAAGGCATTCGACCGCGTCCCTCGGGGAGTCCTGTGGGGAGTGCTCCGGGAGTATGTGGTGCCGCGCTGCCTTATAAGGGCTGTTCGGTCCCTGTACAACCGGTGTCAGAGCTTGGTCCGCATTGCCGGTAGTAAGTCGGACTCGTTCCTGGTGAGGGTTGGACTCCGCCAGGGCTGCCCTTTATCACCGATTCTGTTCATAACCTTTATGGACAGAATTTATAGGCGCAGCCAGGGTGTTGAGGGTGTCCAGTTTGGTGACCTAAGGATTAGGTCTCTGATTTTTGCAGATGATGTGGTTCTGTTGGCCTCATCAGACCGTGACCTTCGGCTCTCACTGGAACAGTTCGCAGTCGAGTGTGAAGCGGCTGAAATGAAAATCAGCACCTCCAAATCCGAGACCATGGTCCTCAGCCGGAAAAGGGTGGCGTGCTCTCTCCGGGTCGGGGAGGAGGTCCTTCCCCAAATGGGGAAGTTTAAGTATCTCGGGGTCTTTTTCACGAGTGAGGGAAGGATGGAGTGGGAGATCGACAGGCGGATCGGTGCGGCATCAGCCATGATGCAGGCGCTGCATCGGTCTGTCATGGTGAAGAAGGAGCTGAGCCAAAAGGCAAAGCTCTCGATTTACCGATCGATCTACGTTTCTACCCTCACCTATGGTCACGAGTTGTGGGTAGTGACCGAAAGAATGAGGTCGCGAGTACAAGCGGCCGAAATGAGTTTTCTCCACGGGTGGCTGGGCTCTCCCTTAGAGATAGGGTGAGGAGCTCGGTCATTCGGGAGGGACTCAGAGTAGAGCCGCTGCTCTTCCGCATTGAGAGGAGCTAGATGGGGTAGCTCGGGCATCTGCTTAGGATGCCTCCTGGACGCCTCCCTGGTGAGGTGTTCCGGGCATGTCCCACTGGGAGGAGGCCCCAGGGAAGACCCAGGACACGATGGAGGGACTATGTCTCTCAGCTGACCTGGGAACACCTCGGGATTCACCCAGAGGAGCTGGAGGAAGTGGCCGTGGAGAGGGAAGTCTGGGTTTCCCTGCTGAGACTGCTGCCCCCGCGACCCAACCTTGGATAAGCGGAAGTTAATGGATGGATGGATGGATATTATACAAATGGAGCTTGGCTTGTAGAAGCTGTAGAGACACGAGGATGTGTAGTGGTCATAAAAGCCACCGTTGCAGATTGACACTTGTTTGCATGGAAGGTCTTGGTGATGGTTGTCCCTTTAGTTTTGCTGACATTTCTATCTGGCGCTGGTACGGATTCAGTCTGGCTTGTTGTGAGCTGGTCTCTTCTACACTTTGTCCCCTCCCTGGGCTCCTGTTGTACACGGATGATTGTTGCTTTCCCTTAAAAGGCTTCTCCATTTCCAGAACCTTCCCGCCACCCTCTGCAGCCTCTCTCTGAGTGGGAGAGCTTGGCTCATCCCCCTCCCCCCCAGGCAGGCCCTCAGCCTTTGGGAAAACATCTTCTCTCTGTCTGAAGACACCAGCCCACAGCAGGGACACAGGGCTCACCTTAAAGCGTGTGTGTGTGTGTGTGTGTGTGTGTGTGTGTGTGTGTCAGTGCATGCGTGTTTCCCAGCAGTCCCAAGCTGCAGATCACTGGGCCCCGTGTTTTAGTGCGAGAGGAATTTACTATCTGGTAACCCAGTACGCGCAGTGAAAACCGTCGGACACGGGGGCCTGGGCAGGCTCTCCGGGGAAACCAGCTAGGAATGCCGCTTTGTTCCCGGCTTAATTTGGTTTGGCAAATCCGGTTCTCACAACCGGAGAAGCAGAACAAGACAAAGGCATTTTTTATGTGTGGAGACGACCGCTGCGTCGTTCTGCTAGTTAACAATTTCGCCCGTCTTCAGGATGGCGTTTGAACGGCAAATATTACACAGCATGTGCAGGAAGGAATCACACCATCCAAAGAACATCAGCAACAACAGTAATGATGGCCATCATTCTCACATCAATATTATATTAATGTCAAATACCTTAGCAGTACTCTGTCACACCTGTGCTTTGTGGTATCATCTTTTATTGTGTATCTTAGCATTTATGAGGACACAAATATGATGGACTAATTTAAGAAAAAACATGATGTAAGTTGCTGATCAATTTGTTCACCTTCCAGTATCAGCAGATCTGTTCTATTTCCATGCAGTACTTGTATGGTTAAGGGCTGATTGTGTCCCAGACTAGCCAGTGAGTTATGGTTCACTTTATACACAGAAATAGGCTCCTGTTCGCTCATTCATAAGCTCCAGCGCGTAAAGTTGGAGTGCTTTTCACCAGGTGGGCGTATCCTCGTCTTTAGTTTCCTCCGCCTGACCTTTGACTTTAAACCAGTCGCTGGCAGTGCCTTCACCAGCCTGGATACCTTCGGCCCTCGTGAGGTTTGCTGTGGGGAAAGCTTAATATCTTAGCTTGACCAAAGCCCTCTGCTGGTTAATTAGTTCTAGCTTGTGCCTTATCCCGTGCCTGTGCTGCAGGAAAGCCCAGCCTCGGTTATTTTGGAGATTCACGTGATGCGCATGAAGAGGGAAGCTC